AAAAGATGTTAAGATAGCGCCACCTACACTGTATATGAGAATTCCTTCTCCATCGACGCCGACTGCGATTTCAGTGCGCTTCCTCTTCTTGGTGCCGCTAAGACTGTAGACACCAGCTGCCTGCGTGCGCCCGCTTATAGAGTCGAGGGGGTGTGGGAGCGAAGCTAATGTGTAAGGAGCACCAATCTCCTTATCAGACGACATTGCTTTTGCCAGACGGGACTGAGAAGCCTAGATGTGTCTGCGTGGATCGTCGGGGAAAGGCGACTGCGCGGGAAGAGCTGGCGCGGGTGCTGGGAGCTGGGAGCCGCCGAAAAAATTATTGATCTCGAATTGGCAGAACGCGCAGGGCGGTGAGCTACCTAATTCCCGAAATCTTGGCGACGAGAGCACGTGATGAACGTTAAGCTGGAGCGCGTCGCGTCCGAACGTCGCGTTCGCCAACCGTCCGGGCAGCGTCCAGCACTCAGCACTCAGCACTCAGCCGCCAGCCCTGCCAACCTTCACTGTGCACGCTCTGTCTCTCTCACCTGCAGTCGAATTGTCCGCCGCATCGCAGTCGTTTAACGCCCCGCCTCCTAACAAGCCATGCGTGACTAGCTTTCAACTGCTGTAAATGGCTCTCGCTGCGGTGCAGACCGCCATGGATCTTGAGCAGAACAAATCTGTACATCCCTTCTTCTCGAAGCCACACAGTACGCGCGGCCGCACTGCCTGCATTGCTCGGCTCACCCATCACTAGGAACTACTCCTCACGAGCATAAGTTCGCCGCTGACGAGCCGCCCGCTGAGACTGCACACGCCGACGCCGACTATGAACAACCGAACGATGGTGCGCCAGCGGGCAAGGGGCGCCGCAAACGAGCCAGGAAGCCTGAGGGGGTGAAGGACAGGAAGGAAGAGGGGTCAGGGAAGAGTGTACAAGCTACTATTGATGGTTTTGCTCGTCGGGCCACCGCGGAGGATGCTGGTAAAGTCGTGGATGGGCCACATGATAGCGGGCGTGTCCAAGATTCAACGCTAGAGCAGGACCCTAACCGGAGCCGAAGGAAACGGAGGAAAACAGAGTCTCCTGGGCCCGTCGTCATTGGAACCTCCACGAACGAGGCTTCACAAGCGAAGGGTAACTTGAGCTGGCATCAACAACTGCGAGTAGAGGCGGAGAAGCTCAATACTGAGCCTATGGATACATCTCCAGGCGCAGGCCTAGAAGCTGTTTTCCCAACAGTTTTGCGCGCAGAGGGTGAGCCCAACCACGGAACCGGATTCACGTCAACTACCCCCACCGCTCACGTTTCCGCCGAGCACACTAGTCCTGTGGAAGACGTGTCGCAGAAAATGACACCCAAGAAGATATTGAAGGTCAACATGAACGGCAAGCTAGTGTCACCAAACTCCAGCAAATCTCGGCTGGAGCCAACACAGAGTCCAAAGAGAGGAAGGGGCCGACCTCGCAAGATATCCAAAACCAAAACCTTACCTACCGTCACTATCATCAAATATGGATCCGATCTGGTAAGCCGACGGGCTATTGGTAAGAAGATAGATGATATTCTGGACAACAGATTGGTACCCAAGGCGCGCCCACCAACCACCAATGCGCACGCAAAGCCGACCGGTCCTCCAAAAGCGACGCATCCTTTCTTCACCGGCAAGGCTGCATCCAAAAACTATGAACCACAGCAAAAACCTGTAGCTGAAACTCGGAGCCTAGCATCTCCGAAGCCCCCGAGAAAGAGTGCCGTGACTCCAGGAAAGTTAAGAGCTGAGACGCGCCACCACCAGTCGTTGCGACCAGAACCTGCGTTCGGAACGATTCCTGGGCAAACACGAGATTCTAAACATCTAGGAATAGACGAAGTACCATGGCCTTCAAAAGGGATGGCCCATGTACGCAATCTTGAGGATTGTAATGTGCTAGGGCAACCTCAAAAGACTTCTACACGTCCAACTCACAACCCTCGAAAGCTGAAGAATCAACTAATAACTGTTTCACAAGATGAGGACCTGATCAACAAACTATCCCAACAGTTGAAGCCGATGATGCGCGGAAATACGGAGATGAATGTCAGGGACTTTCCTCCGCCGCGAGACGTTAGATTACCATCTCGTCTGCTCACCACCGGAGTCGATATCCAGCAACGGGTACGGCGAGAAGTTCTGACATCATTGTCAATCTCGGAGAGAACTGGCAGTGGGCAAAATGATGTGCACCCAGCTATTGAAGCACTTTTCAAGGATATTGAGCAGACCCTGACACCCTTCGACCAAGGCAGATGTGAGAGCCAAGCTTGGGTCCAGAAATATGCCCCTATTCGCACTTCTCATGTTCTACAAGTGGGCAAGGAGGCCAACGTTCTTCAAGAGTGGTTACAAAATCTCACTGTTATGGCGGTTAGAGGGAGCAAGGACGCACCAGGAAGCACCTCGCTAGAAGCAAGGAGACCTCCGAAGAAGAGGCGCAAAAAGACTGAGGACGATTTTATTGTTTCTGACGAGGACGAGGATGATAACGAACTGATCGAGCTTTCTGGAGGAGAAGGCTACGGTGTTGGGTCGGGTTTACGTCGACCGAAATCGCTCAAAAGACTACGATTAACCCGCCACAAGAACGTAATCGTATTGAGTGGACCTCATGGCTGTGGAAAAAGCGCGACTGTGTATGCCGTTGCCAAAGAGCTTGGGTTCGAAGTGTTTGAAATCAACTCTGGTAGCCGGCGCTCTGGCAAAGACGTGCAGGACAAGGTTGGCGACATGTCTGAAAATCATCTGGTGACACAAAAGAGGCAGGTCGACAAGGTAGTGCCCGAAAACTCATCGGTGGACGATCCTGATAACGAGTTTATGAGCGAAGCGTTACAGAAGGACCTCGACAGCGGGCGACAGGGCACCATGACATCGTTCTTCACGTTAAAACCCAACACACAGGCAAAGCCTAAGGTCAAAGCAAAACCAAAAGCTGCCGAGCCGCGCAAAGTTGTATCAACCCAAGCTATCTTATCCAAACCTCAGCCGGCGCGCAAGTCTCAGAAGCAGTCTCTTATACTTTTCGAAGAGGCTGACATTCTTTATGAGGAGGACCAGCAATTCTGGGCACAAGTGACGAAGCTCGCCTCGCAGTCCAAGCGGCCTATTGTCATTACCTGCAACGACGAATTTCGCATTCCCACCGAAGAATTACCAATCGCCGCCGTCCTCCGCTTATCACCACCACCAGTCGACCTCGCAACAGATTACTTGCTTGTTCTAGCAGGAAGAGAAGGGCACGTGCTAAAACGAAAGGCTGTATGTGATCTCTACAAGGCTAAGGACCATGACCTACGGGCTAGTATAACTGAGTTGAATCTTTGGTGCCAAATGTCTGTGGGCGACCGGAAAGGCGGGCTGGAGTGGTTTTATCAACGCTGGCCGCCTGGCAAAGATGTGGATGCAAATGGTGAACTGCTTCGCGTGGCGAGCGAAGGCACTTATCAGTCAGGGATGGGATGGTTTTCGCATAACGTGTCTACGTCCCGAGACACTATTGGCTTCGATAAAGAGCACGAACTGTCGAAAGAGGCATGGATGAATTGGGATATGAGTCCCGACTATTGGAACAGCAACAAAGAGAAAGCCAACGATTCCGGCGCGCAGCATCAGGGCTCTCAAGCGAAGCAGCTAAAAGATCTCGAGCAACTTGATGATATGTTGGAGTCGCTGAGCGCCTCTGACATCTATTGCCGTGTTGGCCTGCCTTCGTACGAACGAGACTCCGATGAACCAACGGACCCGTCGCTCCCCGCTCTCACCGATAAAGAGCGCTTGAACTACACTCAAGCCGCACCAGTCTTACAAGTTGATCATCTCTCGGATTTTACGACCTTCGATACAGACATGTTTGTCGAGAGCCACTTGAGCATTCGACGTGCGTTTGGCGGAAGCCGGGCTCTCCCACTTGTCCCACGATCCGACGCAGATGGATTGTTACCCACGCGTGAAGATGACTACGTCGAAGCAATCCTACAACACAAGCAAGATGAGCAGGAGCAACACTCCCTCTCTCGGCTTGATTTCTCCAACGCGTTCGACATTCTCGCCGTGCCACAATCGACCATGCCATCACTTTCAACATCATACCAACTGACTCCATCGTCCTTCGACCGCACTTTCCGCATCGTAGTCGAGGACCTCGCGCCCTACGTCCGGAGTATCGTCTCGCACGAGCTCGTCCGCGAGGCGCAGCGCATCCGTCTTAGCAACCTATTGTCCGAGGGTGGACACGCCAAACGGCCGCGAACAACGAGGGCGAGTCGCGTGGCGCAGGAAGGCGGAACGAGAATGTCGAAGCGCAGGGAGCGCTGGTTCGACAAGGACTTGAACATGCAGGCGGTCATGCTGACTGCCGGCACGACTTGGGCGGGGTTGGGTTCCGGGGTAGACGACACGGATGATACGGCTATGTCTACGAGGACAGGAGATAGCTTGGTGGGTACTCCGGAGGAGTAGAATCGTCTGGTTGGGCGTTCTTATGCATGGGTGGATGGGCGGAGGGGATATATCTGCATGGTGCATTGCGTGGCTATCTATACATGGCATGGGAGCGTATTTTAGAGCTGCATTTCCGAGCATTATTGGCGTTTCTGCATTCTATCTTCGAGCAAGACTTACTTCTAGTAACTTATCTATAAGCAAATCTATATAGCATTTGACAGCATCTGGCTCCAGGAACAACAATTCTCCATCTACCTCTATGCAAGCTTTAGAAGGACACATAGTAGTACTACCTACCAATCAACACACATCCCTCCATATCTACCCGACTCAACAAAGAAATAGTATCAGTCCATCAACCTACCTGCTCCTTCTATACATGTATATATGCAACAACAATCCAATCTAATCAACAACAAGAAAGATAAATAACCCATTCCCAAAAATACAGCAGCGCCCCTCTGCCCCACACACTTATTCCATCACCCAAAACCAACGCCCCCCCAAAAAACAAAACTCCAAAAAAGAATTGACCATGCCAGGGGTCGAACCTGGAATCTCTTGATTTCGGATTACGTAATTACTCGCATCGTAGTCAAGCGCCTTGCCATTGGGCCACATGGCCGGATGTTAAACCGGGTGGTGATTTATATGATTTTTGAATGCTAGACAGTATATATACTCAATACGGATGGGGTGCAGGGCGAGGTGAGGTAAAGCTGAGCGTGTTTGCCGGGACGGGATTATTGGTGTGGGTGGGTCGAGGTGAGGGGCAGGGCACAAGGGAATGTGGGTGGAGTGAGAAAAGTTTGCTAGTGTGCATGGTCTAGTGCGGGGGGAGGGGAGGAGCCCCTGTGGCATGTGCCCCTCTACTGCTTAGCATTGTGAGAAATATTCAGTATTCACAATGGTACATCTACGATAGGGCCTCAGATATGCGCATATATTTACGAGACAATGTTTGGAATATTCGTTTTACAAGTGTATCAGGAGTGTGTATGTTGACCGGCTACACAGGACTACGCACGTTGAAGTCGAATACCAGCTGCATCTCATACAGAGTCGGGCTACCAGTTCACCATTTGCACTTAATCACGCTGAGGACTGAGAACGAATTTCAGTATTGCTATCACGCTTTGATGCCACAAACTACAAAAGTGGCCAATCCTATCAAACTAGATTAACACACGCAAGCCCGCGCCCCTGACCTGACCACAGAGGGCAACAGGTTATCCTGCTTCAAGCGCCCTGCCAATCCAAATGCTGCACTCAAAAATAGCTCCCAACGCCTAATCCTATGCAACGCTAATATTGATTATTTCAAAGACGATGCAGCTTCCGATAAGTAGCTGTACTGCATACTAAGTAGCCGTGACCATTGGTAAGCTCTGTGGCGAATCCTGGCCTCGCGCTACCTGTGAGTCTCCAGCTGTGCGCATCGTGTGCGGACCTAAAGATGGACGGGACTGCAAGGTTGACGCCAAGTGCTTGTGAACACGTGTATCCGGCGACGTGCCAATCTCCGCCTCGTCCTCGGATGTCAGTAGTGTGGATGGTGCATCTTCTGAGCCGGCTTCTGACATCTCGGTATCTTCCCCAGCCGACGTCGACTCTGCTCGTGCAAACGATCGAGCTGGTTGTGTCTCCTCCGAGTCCAAACTAGAAGCGCTAGGAGCCACTGTAGCATTCGAAGGCTCCAGATCCAAGTCGTCGACAGGTAGTGGAACTTGAAGAGCGGCATCGTCAATGACGAGAGCATCAGGGTTAGACTCCGCGGGAGGGAGAAGAACGTCATTGGCTGTGGTTCCGAAAACGACTTCGACTGGCTCCGCGCTTGATGGAGATGGTGATGGGGTAGCATCTAGGCGCTCATAGAACAGCATGAACACACCACTTTGGTGGAGAGCTTGTTCCTCGGGGACGGTATATACAGTCTCGTCGCTGAAGCGCCACCATTGCTCCTGTGAGGCTTCATCAACTTCTCCGCGGGGTCGCGCTTCGTTCTTGCCTTGCTGGTGTTGGCGATAGCAGACATAGTGACCATAGCCATGCGTACCGGAATGCGCAATTACGGCCCGTAATGCGTATCGGAAAGGAGTATCTGCAATGGCCTCGGGATCCTCCGGTGGTGACCCAAGCATAGATACGTTCGGATCTCGTGGCCACTCCTCAGCTGAATCCGGAAGATGAGACAGTGAGGGTTGACTACCCAAACACCAGTGGCCGAGGTCAAGGACTGATGGGTAGAGAACTCGCGCGTTGTTTTTGTATTGTGCGCCTGTCGTTTCATCGAAAATACTCCGGTTGATGTGAAGGACCAGCGACTTGGGTGCCCGAGCTACCACGGCCTGGCGCGATTTTGTGCTCTGTACCCAGTTCTTCTTTGCAACGTTACACTTTTTTATAAGTGTCTTATCCTCGAAGTCCTCTTCATCAAGCGCCTCCTGCACAACTTCAAGCTGGGCTCCGAATTTCGGCACACTAGCCAACCCAGCCAGCGTACCCTTCATTTTAAGCAGGGTACATTTCGCACATTCCACCCCTTCGATATACTCCAGATTGGTATATTCGTCCAGACAGTCGCGCACATCGTAATAGTCACTCCTCCCTAGCGGCACGGTGAGGCAGTTGAAGGGGATGAGCGAGAGGCCTTCGGAATAGCCGCAGTTGGTGCAGCCGACGCGCTGAGCCAGTAGTCCATCGAGCGGATTCGGGGTAATACGCGGTTGTTCGAGCGTCGTCCTGGTCGTATCGTCGCCGTCACTCTGCAGCTTAATCTCAGATGTTTCATCACCTGGAGAAGCCACAGGTAAGTCGCTAAGGCCCTTTGCAGCTGATAGCCAAGATGCACTGGACTGTCTCTTACGGTTCGAGGCCTTGTGAACCTCCGTATCAAGCTCATCCAGAATCTTCGAATAGTACTCCTGCGCATCCTGTTGCTGGAAGGTGCTCATCGACTTGAGCGCGCCGTGTATCCAGAAATGGCGGCCGTGGTTTTCGGGATCATTGAGATGGTTGATCATTTCAAATAGGGCGCTGTTGGTAGACTCGCTGTCCAGCTCGCTAGTCGTCTGGGAGAGGTATTCGTGTAGGGCTGGAAGCGACGCGAGACCCTGGATCACACTGTTCTGGTAGCATGAGTTGTTCAGGTTGCCCAGCCCGGGTGGCGCGTCGCTATAAGTCTTCGACAGGGCGCCGGCCAAGCCGGTCACACTCCTTTTCAGCAGACTCCCGCTGCTCATTCCAAAGAGCGTCCTCACCACGTTTCCTGCACTGGCCTGCGTCTCCGTATTCGGTTTGTCGTCACCAGACTCGGCGTCCGGGTCGGCGGCGACGCCGTCGAAACTCCACGGGGCCGGGTCGCGCGAGAAAAGTGCTTGTTGGGCCATACGGGCGAGCTGGTGTAGCCAGAGCCAGACTGGATATCCGAGGAGCTCGAGAGCCTTGAAAAGGACGGGTGCGCCGATAACAATAGCGAGAACGACGGAGGTCGGCGATGGGGTAGAGGAGTCCGATGGGAGCTGCTGGTTGTCGAACAAGAGGGTCGCGCGGGTTAAGAATGGGTTGCGCATGGTTTTTCTCGTAAGCTAAGGCCTGCTTAGTGCGCCGTGCGATGTGGTTCTGCGGGTGTGGAGTCTGGAGTCTGCGACTGACAGAGAACCACTGAGTAATGAGGCAACGAACAGGTATTTAGTGGCGGCCGGCGTCTTCACCCTTCTGGCCAGCGCATAAAAGCGATCGTGGATAGCAGCAAACACGGAGATGTTGACTGTGTCTGCGACATGTGGAGAGAGGAAGAACAGTGCGACAGTGCTGGAAGAACAAATAGGGCTGGAATCTGCGAACGTCGATATTGTGAAAGCGAGCCGCTGCGGGTTGCCGCTTCTTCCCTGCGCCGAACTCTTGGCATCGCATCAGTTCGCTCAGTCTTGCACAACGCGCACAGTCACGTCTGCCCACCCTCCAGCACCACCCGCAGATGCGCTTGGAGATACCGCCGGCCCACGAGTAATTTTCGGGACCCACTGCTCTCGTCGGATTACCCGTAGATTTCTTGCATCATGGCCAAAATCGCAAAAGCCAAGAAGCGCGGTACGCAAACCCTTTTGATCTTGCCTCCAATACCAGAACCTGTCTGACAGCGTCTGCAGAAGTAACAGTGCACTCGCGCGCCGCCCGCCGAGCAGCGTCCCCCTCCATCGATATCGACAAGTCCCTCAAAAGCAAAGCTCCCGACTCTACTTCTCCAGCCCGGGCCGCAGCAAAGCCCAAGCCACACGTCCTCGCTGCGAAAAGCGCTGGCATAACCAAGAAGTCAAAATCAAAGCCTCTGAAGCGCCAGCAGCGAGTGAGGCAGCTCAGAGCAATCGACAAAGCGGCTGACACCATGGACAAGATGGAGTTGAAGGTACAGAGGAGCACGGGCAAGGACAAGAAGGTCAGGGAGCGCAAGAAGGGCTGGGAGGAGGTTAATGGAGGAAAGAGGAAGAAGGGGAAGAACCCGTTCGAGACCCTGGATGGGGATGAGGATGAGGCGGACGCAACGAAGAGGGAGTGGGTCAGTGATGAGGACATGCCAGAAGCAGAGCCAGTGGACGAGTCTGCTGAGGCTGGGCTGCAGCTAGAGGTATCCGGAGAGGTTAAAGAGGTGATAGTAGCGGCGAGTGTGCCTCTCCCGCTTGCAACGGTCGAGGACGACGAGCTGCTTTGAGCGAAAAATTCTTCGGCAACCGGTCTTGAGGCTAGTCGCACACGCAGCTACGAATTACGACGTATGACAACTTGGGCCACTTAGATAGGATGGGTATAACGCTGTCCCGACAATCATTCGGATCGGGCTGTGATATAAAAGTTCTTCACTTGATAGATGCCCTTCACCGACGCCAGGTCACACACCTCGGGAGGCGAAAATTTCATGGCTTCAATAAAGCAAATCCCGGGTGAAATGCATTTCATGCATGGTTTTACGAGAGCGAAGTTGGAAGTTGCTAATCTACGATCGGTTCTTCATCTCCCGCAGAGCCTTCATGACCTCGACCGGCTGATCCTGTCCAACGAGTCGCTGGATATCTGGATCATTGAGACGCATGAATACGTTGTGTTGCTGCAACGTCATTAGCTCCATACTCCTTTCACTCATAGGACGTTGAACATACCTTTTCATCCCCAATAGTAAACTTCCCCTGCGTCTCCTTGTTCGCTTGAGCAAACTCGTCCAGCTTCTTAATGGCGTCGTTGTTCAGCACCTTCTTCGCAAACTGCACATTACCCTTCGTGTACTCGTGCCCGGGATATACCTTCGTGTCGTCTGGTAGAGCACTCAGTGTCTCGTTCAGTGCTTTGTGCATCTCCGTTGCGTTGCCCTCGAAGAAGCGACCGCAGCCTCCGATGAATAGCGTATCGCCTGTGAAGACAACACGGTCGGTGCCGTCCTCGAACAGGTAGCAGATGCTGTCTTGGGTGTGGCATGGCGTATGAAGAGCGGTGACTTTTATGGACTCGCCGATGTTGAAGGTGGAATTGTGGGAAGGAGTGGTGGTTACTTGGGTGCAGTCTTTGCCGCCGACTATGGGGAGTTTGTAGTGTTTGAGCTGCAAATCCGATTAGATCCTTCTCAGAGGCAGG